AATACCTGATGATATTTCCCAATAGGGGCATCAATATTCCTTCTACATCGGTTTGCTCCGGACTTAATAGAATATGCTGCAGATATGATAGCGGTTGACTAAATGTTCAAAAAATATTAAATCTACGACTTATAGACCTACTTGGCTACGCTGTGGTTAAAAATATTAATCCTCAAGAAGTTATATAGTATGGTAAATTGCAACATTGCACCAGCCGTCTAAAGTACAGTTACCAAATACATGTATATGGACATACTGGTATTGAGTTTGGGAATGAAACCTTGACTATATAATGAAAAAAATGTACTCAAAATATGCTGTGCGTAACTATACGAGCAGGTACAAAATTTGGCAAAAAAAAAAAAAAAAAAAAAAAAAAAAAAAAAAAAAACATTTGAACATTTTAAAATTTACATTTGGACATGATCGTTTTTAAATACTGTCTTTCGTTTGAAAAAAGTTCCTATTCCGACCTTCACAAACAAGGGGCCTTTTTATTAAAGATCCTGTATGTCAAATGATGTACCATTTTCAGTAAAAGTAAAAGCATTTTCATTAAAAGATTTTACAAACACTTTTCAACAGTAAGTTCAGTCTGATAACCTTAATTTAAATGAAATTTTCCTCAACGGTAACTGAGTTTTGTCTAAAACCCCTTCTTATTCTGTCAGTGAAGTCAATGAGACGCTTTCGAACCACTCTCGTTCGTAAACTATAGATGAAGGGGTTGAGAAAACTGTTTATGAGGCTTAACGCCGTGGTGACCTGCGCAGCTCCATACGTCTGACTAGATATCCCCAGCTGCGAAAACAATCTATTTGATATAATTGCCGGCAAGACACTAAGGATATACACGCCCAGAAGGATTAGGCTTGAACAAATGACATGCTCGTCTTTTTGGACAAGTTTCACATAATGCTCATCTGCCCCTTTCTTTATAGTCATCACATCTGTAAACTCGGCTGCCAGTGATTCTTCGAATTCCCTTTTTAATGGATTTTCTTGCACGGACCCGGGCTGATCACTTGATGTAAAACTTGTTTCCACGGTTTTTGAACCGGTTATTGTACTGACACTGTAGCCAGTAACGTAGGGTTTTATTGCCAGCCGTTGTCGCATAAGCTTTCTGAACACGGTGATATAACTGACTAACATAACTATGCCGCAAATCAGAGCTAGCGGTACCAAAGCAGACACGGAAACTTCGCCTTGTCCTTCGTGGTGACACTCAATAATGAACGGGTACTCCTTCTCTCTCAAGATATCCAGCGTCGAAACTCCAATCCCTATCACCCACGGCAAAACAATCCCGGCTTTCATTGTGGTTTTACTTATATTTCGGTGTGGGTGACAGATTTTATACGACCGGAGCACGCTAATGTTGGCAAGAATGACCATGTTGACGGCAGGACCGAATATGATGGTTCGGACTATGTCACATTTTGAGAAGAACGAGCCACCCCACCACCATACCAGTAATATGGAAAAAGGTGCCGTAAAGACGCATATGATCAGGTCGATCACTGCCAGGTTAACGTGGAAGGAATTGTCCCAAGTTTTAAGAATGGGTGTGGTAAGAACGATGATTACCACGCTGATGTTTCCAGGTGTTCCGAATACGAATGCCAAAATTGCAAACACAGTCACGGTGATTCTGGCCCATTGTGTGTCGTCATACATTCCGAGTCCATCTGAAAGTCCCGTCTGGTTGTCAATGAAAAGTGACATATTCACTTCTTTCTGGTCCATAATCAGGTTGAAGATACACACCAAAACCCAACTGCACCTTTTTTTCCGCCGTCTAAATTGAAATATCTCAGCACGACTTGCGGAGGTGCGACTGTTTCGATTCCTTGAATATCCAAGTTACCATTCAACGCTGCTGATTGGATGAACACATTTTCATACCAAGTGCATACAGTATATTCATAGGTGTTTCATCGGAGACTCACGACGTCAACGCAGTAATTGGGCACCAACAGATATGAGGCTACTAAAGTGGCTTCCGAATCATCGATTTAGCCGATATCGGATAAACATTTTCTTTAAAAAAAACAAAAAAAAAAAAAAAAAAAAAAAAAAACAGTTGGTTCAAGGCACCCAACTTCATCCTTCATATTTGCCAGTTGACTCTGTCATTGCCAACAACTAGTATTTATATTTGTGCATACCATCTACTTTTGAAAACAAGGCAGCAAAGCCGTCAAATGGACAGACATAAATGTAAAACCTGATACAGTACCACCGGTATCTTACCTTACTAAAAGGCCGCAGGTTCTGTCTGCCCTGCGCAGTAGGATCGGACAATAGAGCCCGCATGATTATTGTAGGTCATCCTTATTGAAAACCCAAATTAGTCTGCTCAGCGAACACACATTGCTCTTTTTTATTGCCTCATGCTAGTTCATGCCCGATCATGCTGATTTAATATTCAGCCAAAAAGTAAAACTGCCCTCCACTTATCGTGTATACAATGAAAGTGCACGGCGCCGGCGACAGTGACAGTGACGGCGACGACAGACACAGGTGATGGCAATATGTACAGACACATCTGTACATATTTACTGTACTGTTTGAGAACAGTAAGTGACATGGTTTCTCTTAAATGTTCAACTTGNCTGATTTTTGAACTTGACCTGCGTTTTATGAATATTCATCAGCTCTGTAAATATAAAGCCAAAAAGTAAAACTGCCCTCCACTTATCGTGTTTACAAGCAAAGTGCACAGCGCCGGCATCGGCATTGGCGACGGCGACGACAGACGCAGGTGATGGCAATATGTACAGACACATCTGTGTCTGTACATAAAAACCCTCATAAATGTAAAATGACGGCGTTCACATTTCTGGATGCTAAGCACAAGCGCAAGCATCTCGGAGCCATTATCGGTAATTTTACAGCTTTCTATTTTGTGAGATGAGTAAGCAATCGGTCTGGGGCTTCACTTCTTCCTCGAACAAGATTTTATCACGAAAATTGGCATAGTTGACCACAAGTGTATAGGCTTCATTGTCGTGCCGTCATTTGGGTTTTTTTTTAAATGTTTTTTTATCGTTTTAGAGAAATCAACGGTGTTATTAAATTGGCGGTGTTGTGGGTGCTCGGGTAAAGGAGAAATCTGAGAAACCCAAAAGCGCAATTGTGACGTCATTGGTAAAATGATATTTGTGTACATGCAATTCATTTCAGTCAGTGAATCATCCAAGAGTTTTTGTTTAACTAACCTGACAGTACCCTTAAACTCAAATGAACTGAAAAGTGATAATGTTAAGACGACACGTGCTACACAGTTCTCATTGTGTAATGACCGGAGCTTAATTACCTTGTTTACCTGGTAAGCATTAAGCTCACCTGAACAGATAGATAATTATTTTGAGGTGAGGCATGTCCAACAATGAAGCTGATCCAAGAGATTGTTATCCAGCTGCTGAAACAACTTTGCAAAATACTCATTATTATTTTCTTACTTTCATAATAATCATCATCATCATTATTATTAGAATAAAAATAATTATCAATATTATGAAAGTCTATCCTTTAGCACCATTACTGCTGTATGTTTGTACTGTTATAATGTACCAATGACAAGATGTCACGGTAAAAATAATCCTAACTGAACTATTCACCTGTCAACATGGAGTCAGCTTGTTAAAACCCACGTCATCGAAGGCTAATTGGTCTCTCAGGAGTGGCTCCAGCTGACTGACAGGAAAAGTGAAGAAAGTATGCTGCCAGCTTTGACATCATTGGTGTACTGGTAACTTGTGTACATACCGGTGTCCAGGTACATGGAATCCAGCAAAACATGTCCTCAACTGCTGTGCACTCGAATTTATTGTCTATAGTCTATGGGCCAAATGCTGAACCCCCCTCCCCCCTTACTGACTTTCAGTCATTATGTTTTTCTGATATTATGTTTTTCTCCTCACCTTTTATTTATAGCTTATTATCCATAAACTGGTGGTGGGTGTGGGTGTCAAATGAAACCTCGATTCACTTCGGAGAGAAAAAACGTTTCAGCATGACGTCCCTATATGTTCTTTGGGTAATTGCACTTTATCATCCCCGATTTGTAAGGGACGAATGCTTGTTCTTTTAAAGGTTATCTACCTCTCCTTATACACGGCAGCTGATATAACAATTATTTCCACTCCATTATTTCCTTGTCTCACAAAACACCTTCATCAGAGAATAAGGCTACAGGTGTTATAATTGCCTCTACCTAGGGTAGGATAACAGAGCATTTTGTTTGCTCATCAAATTCATAAAAGAAACAACAGCACGCCTAACCCATGCTCAATTTGACTTTGGGAAGAGACAATACGACAATAGGATTATGCATAAACATACATAGCAGGCCTACCCAACTACCAGACGCGCACCTTGAAAACGGGTAGTGTGGTCTGATATACCGGTTTATTCAGGATCCGTAGGTGCCGCGTCTGGTAGTTGGGTAGGCCTGCATAGGGTGCCCACGCGTCAGGACCCGTATTGAAAGATGCCTTCAAACTGTCGCCACAAAACACCTTCAAAGTCAAACTGTTGCCACAAAACCTGACCAAATGCCACCATAGTTTCAAATATCATAACCTTAACAAATATCAAAGGGCACCGTTTCCCGTTTCAAAAAAAAAAAAAAAAAAAAAAAAAATGTCTAAAGCCAATGTCTAACGGTAGATGCATAGAGCAGAAATATGGACATGATAAAAGATCTAGGAAAAAGAACAGAAAAAGAAAAGTTAAAACATGGACACTCAGTGGATTCAGAGGTGAATATAGGAGATAAAATGACAAAAACATAAAGGCCAATATGCAAAAAGATAAAAACAAGACATCACACAAAGAACTTCCATTTACCAAGGGTCTTTCTGAGCGCTAACAAAGTCCATTAAACCATATCCTTGTTTGAAAGTAAAATTCATGTCTGTCAGACACTATCACGATTCTGTGTTGTTCAGTTGTCACCATAGTGGTTGTAGTCAAACGACAAGTACACCATCTAACATTTCAAATAATACATTTATTTCTGAATATGACGTACAGATGCCAATTGGTGTATCAATGCAATTATAAAACAAGTGTTGCAACAAGTGAAGGTGAAGATAACACATCAAAACTTGAACTCCTCCTCGTTAACCATTAATTTCATGCTTCATGGCCTGGGAGTGGAAGGAAAAAAAACTAGAACAGGACTCAGTGAAAACCCCTGCCAAGGTAGCTCAATTCTCATTAATTAATGTATCACCACCAAAACCTACTCAACTTACAGCTAACCTATTTCTGACCCATCCCGTAAATTTTTATCAAAATCCATCCATAACTGCATGAGTTTCATTGTTCACAAAGACGCCATAAAGGCAGAAACAATTATTACTTCCTTGAAAAATCCCAGGTGTGCCGGTTTGGGTTCCATTACAATCAACCACAAATATACATCATAACACCATCACGATAAATGTCTCCATTTCCAATAAGATCAGCACTGTAACTCTTGTGAACTCATGGTGGAATAATGTTGAGCTTCACGTTACCTCATCTCATTTGTACCATATATTCTACACATATCCATCAGACAACCAGTTTCTCATTTCCTGGTTTCAAGCCTTCCTCTACTAAACATCCTCTCTGCTGAATTCTACAGAAAAGATACTTATATTTCATTCTCCCATTAGTTTTTTTTATTCACAACTAATGTGTTGAAAATTTCCATTGAAAAAAAAAGGGGAAAAAAATTAACATTCTATTCAAAGAAATTACAGTCAAATATATGGAAAAAAAATTCAAGCAAAAATGCTACTCAATATTTAAGACAAAGAAGAATTTAAGTTTGAACACAGAATTAAAAAATACTTTTGGAACCAACCACAATGCATTCACCTAATATATCATTGTGCAAAGATTGAACATTGAACCATTCAGCTGTCAGGAAATGATTGATACCTTTTTCCTTGACAGGTTGAATAAATAAACTCATTTTCATCAGCATTGGAATGAAACCGACCTTTATCATATCTGAATTGATGAAATTAACATTTTTACAACTCTCTGCCCAAGGATCATTATTCCTTATTATCCAAATGAGAAGCCACTAAAATATAAAACCGTCTTGCAGCTAATTCTAAAAAAAGTGATGAACAATATGTTACAAACACACATCTCTCTCTTCATGCAAGTACATCAAGTGTAATTCCACACTTGGACATCATTATGAAACCATATTGGTTATAACTTGAAATTCATCATAAATGTAGTCAAAACTAAAACTGCTCATTCTTAATTTTAATTTTTTTGCCATAAATTATAAAATATTGTTAAATAAACTATGAATAAAAATAGGCATACTATCAACTTTTTATTTAAAAAAAGGCACTTTATTCTAAAACACAACAAGTTACATCTGAAATTTAGCAGATGAATAAAAAGTACCAGTCACAATTAGTTTTTTGGTTAACATGCAAAATGGTAATTCAAAACCTGAATAATTCAACCCCGTGTGTAGGTAAAAATTATCTATTTGAATAATTAAAGTTTGTCTCATACAACTCGTACAAAAAAATGCAAAGCAATGCTTATCTTGAATGAGTACCTCATATTCACTAAAAATATTTAAAAGAAGGACAACTTCACCGTTTTCTTCAGTTTTAAGACAAATCATGTCTTTCTAACTGGCTAACTAATGAATGTGAACAAACAACCTGGAAAATATCCAATCATTTCAAACACAGACATGTAGTCACATGAATACAGAATCTACTTCATCTAAAACATCAAATTTTTTTAATATATAGCCCTCCTAGTGACACACAACACAACAATCTAGTTCTTTAACTCAACGCTACCTTGTAGCCCCTATCTTACAAAGCTTATTTCTATGACTTCCTTGACTACAAACCTACTTCTTTCACCACCCTTTTACTACCTACTTCCTTTAAAAATAAAGGCCTTAAAATAAATACTTCCTACAATTTTTGGCTCCACACTGGCAAACCATGCGAAACGTTTCAGTGGCAGGCACGGGGTCTTCAGCGCCCTCAGAGGGGTAGAGAGATCCAGGGCTGGCGCACATGGTGATGATCTCCGAGCCTTCCTCTGTCACTGTCGTCTCCAGGATGTCGACGGCCGTGGGAAGAGCACAACTGGGCTGAGCTTGTTGGCTGGTATCCCCTATGAGAGGCAGAAAATAAAAGTAAGCCTTGATATCTTGTGTGCTTTTCTAATTACTACTTTAAACCAAGGTAATTTAGCCAAACTTTCAGGAAAATACTAAATATTTTATTGGTTTTGTCCAAACATATTTCTAATTGAGTTAAAATCTTCATTAGCCTATATTGTACGGCTATTTGGAAAAAAAAAATAGAGTAATGCTAACCAGTTTCCCCAGGGCTTGAAGACCTAAAAGATATGAATCCAGCCTGAATGCAGTCTGGCATGTTATGGTTGTAAAACTTACCAGTCATCATGTAATCAAAAGTGAGCTCTTCTCCTTTGGCAATGTCTCTCTTGGCAAACAGGCATATTCTAGGTAATCTGGGGTCCAGAGTATTAATCCATACTCCATACACTGCCAGGTTAGGGTCACACTGGGAAACAAGGAAATAATAGTTCAGTATGAGAGAGAGAGAGAGAGAGAGAGAGAGAGAGAGAGAGAGAGAGAGAATGACAGAGGAAAGGAAGGAGGAGGAGGGGGGGG